GTACCTTCTTCGCTATATATTCTTCGCTACCACGACATTTCCCTGACGCCGTTTTCGATCCTGATCTACATCATACCGGCACCCGCTCCCGCGAAGCCATTACTCGCGAAGATTACGCACGCACGCGTCTCCAACAAGACGTGTAGCCGAAACACATGCACGCCAGCGGTTCAAACGCCAAATCGAAGAGCTCATGATGGCGTATCAGCACTTGTCACTCGCTGTTGAAGAAAAAAAAAAGAGTTGGGGAATCTATCGCAAAAGAAAGTCGAGCAGCAGGAGAGCGGTAGAATAGCGCAGACAGAATAAGCAAATCCACAGAACCTACGGTTGAATTGCACAGAAATATCGGTATACCGGATAAGGGCCACTACTAAAAGCATACTGGGGGTTGCACCCCCAGACCCCCGCATTAGAAAAACATGTTCTGGAGAATGTTGCGGGTCCGTTCGCTGGTGAGTTCGTCGCTGGGCCCGCCTACGCAAATACCGAGGGGCCCTGCTTCGCGGGCACCCCGCTCGGGTTTGCTTCGGCTACGCTCCTCACACCCGCTCACTACCGCCCTCTATTAAAAGCACCTTTTTCACAATCTGTGTTTTTCACGGATTTGTCTGTGCGATTTTCTTTCCTTCGAGCAGCAGCGCACTCTTGATCAAATGCGCCTCGCTGTAGAAGGCGCCAAAATGACTCACCAGAAAACCTCAGCTCTGTAACGTTGCCAGACTTGCTAAGAAGAAGGTTGCCATGATCGATGCCATGGTTGCAAATATCACAGCAGTAGCTCTGCTGCTGATGCTAGAACCGAAGCGACGGAAAACGAGAGCAACTTTTAATTTGAATACCGTGCAATTCGATAAAAAAAATCAGCACTAAAAATACAAATATGTTATTGATGCTATTGTTATTAGAAAAAAGTTGAAGACTACGTAGTTTATGCTGATGACGCGACACAGAAACAAAATCTTTGTGAAAGAGACTCCATAAAGTCCATGTGCCGCGTTTTTTTAAAGTGAAAAACGGCACATAGTAACGTGAAACGTGATATTTCCATTTAGAACACATCGAGATGGATGAGTTTTGTCACGCGTATGTCCGTGTAGTTTTGTCCCCTTCATGCAAGTATTTTGTCACTCGACGATACACGTATATTATATCACAAATGAATTATTTAAAATGCGCTGATTTTTCTGGTTTGTGTTTTGTCGTGACTGTGGACCACTGCCCTTGTGAGAGCGTCCAGCACGACAGGTTGGTCTTCGTTGTCTACGGCCTACCGCTGTACTTCGACAATATCCAGATGCCGCTTTCGGCAGGTGCCGCAGTGGGTGTTGATCACATTGTATTTGAACAGAGTCTTGTTGTTTTGCGACAATTCCTTCCTACAAAAAAATATCAATAAAATCGGAATGACCATGGGAACCTGCCTTGGCGAGAGTGTCAGACAATGAAGAAGTCTTGCATCCTCCACCAGAAGGTGATAGATCGCTACAGTAGCAATTAGCCCATCTACTCGCCATCGTCGAGTTTTGCTGCCTTAGCGATAACAGCCACAGTTGGTGTAATCAGAAAAAACGTCAAATGCACATCAGTATATCATGCAAGTAGAAGTCGCAAAACCCGTTGGAAGCTGTCTAAACGAAAGATCTTCTTCTGTTTCTTTTTTGCAACTTATACTCTTTGCCTAGGCTATGCCGTAGCCAGGGATGCTTGATTTCGCCGAGAGTATGCTTCCCGCTCCTCGTCTAGATCGCCCACAGCAACTTTATTACGCTATAGTCATACTGTAAAAATGCGCTAATATATAAATAAAGTGTTTCTTCTAAAATGCATTCTTTTAAAAGCGCTTTCTTACAAGTCCTTATAACTATCTGATATAAGAGGTTTTATGTAATCCCTACCGACTACTATCCGATTGCTCATATCGTTCCGTCTTCAACCTGGAAGAGCAATGCTTCGGACGCCTAAGCGAGTACGCGAAGGCTCCCACGACGAGTCCCTTATCCCCGCAAAGCGAGTGCCTCGTCAGAGGTGCCACTTTTCCTGTTCAAATCGCAGCTCTGTCGCACGTGATGAAGCTCATCGACAGATTTTTAATTGGGTGAAAAGCAGCCATGTTCGATGCAGCTCTACCGGCCGACGTGTCGTGGCTAGAGCAACTCTTGGCGAGATACAAGAGTGGCGTGTCGAAGCCTCTTGTTGCTGCACCCGCTAGAGGCCACAAAGACGTCGTCGTCAGACTGCTCGCGGCAACTTCTGAGCTATCCCGCAAACGGAAAGAAGCGTCTACAAAGTCATTGCAAAGCCAGCTATCGCTGCAGGACATCGCCTTGTGACGCTGCTACTGAGACGCACAGAGCTGGGCGTTGACAGTGCCCCGATCCTTTCAAGTGGAATGAAGTACACGCAGCAGCTCGAAGTCTCTTGAATACAGCAGCATTTGCAAGTGGTACAGTTCATGGTACAGTACACAAGAGAGAAAGAGTATGCGAGCGCTGAATCGCCCCCTTTGGCTCGGGCGATTACTCAAAAGCACCTGAAAGTGGTGGACTATCTGTTGGATCTTAGGGATTTCCATTGGATCTGGTGCAAGCGTTTGCAGCGGCGGTGGATACGAAGCAGTATGCAATCAGGGAAAGGATTTATAATTCCTACTTGAAGGACGTCGGTGGCAAGGAATTGTTCGGCAATTTAGCAAAGGAAGGCTATGCTAACGCCGTGAAGTTTCTGTACAACAAATGATACAAGAACTCTGGTGTAGTTAACAGAGCGTTCCTGCACGCAGCGACTCGTGGCAAGACAGACGTCGTTGCCTTTTTACTTGAAACTGGATGTATCACAACAAAATCTGTTGATAAAGCCTTTAAGACTGCTGCTGGACCTGTCGTTGGGGTGCATTCAGACACTGTGAAGTTCCTGTACAGGAAACGACGTGGATACTCTGAATCTACGAGCAAAACATCGAAAAGTACAGATACCACTCAAGCAGCCCAACACTTGTGCAAACACGAACGTATATCCGACAAGGCGGTCGTTAAGGCCCTCGAAAGGGCTATTGGATATGAAGGCAATGCCGACCCCAGAGCGAAGACCGGAGCGAAATCATTAAGCTTCTCAGCAAGGAAAAGTGCTTTCCAGCACAGACGATCTGTATAGCGTTCGTGGCAGCGGCAGCCAACGGTAAAACGGACGTTGTGGGTCACCTACGTGACGATCGCCGCGTTTCTTTAGATGTCATGAATGAAAGTTTCACAAATGCTGCAGGAGACAATCATTTCGAGATGAACAAATACCTTTACGAAAAGCTATGTATTTCTCCCGAGACGGTTCTTCTAGCTTTCACCACAGCGCGTGTTCATAAATCCTCAGAGATTCTGGTGTATCTGGTGATGCTGCTAGTTGATGGAGAGCATATTCCGCGACAATTAAAACACCAAGCATTCGTGGCTGCTGTTAAGAAAAGAACACGAAGACGCTGGTTTTACTGACGAGATACGAAGAAGGATAATGGCCGCTGGATGTGCTGAAAGAGGCCCTTGCGGCTGCATCTTATTATGTGGTCAAGAACTTCGTTTACCGACTGACGTGTGATCAGCTCTTTAGTTCGAAAGATCAAGTGAGATTTCAGGCAATGGTCGCGTGGATGGAAGGCTGGAAGAGCAGCTCAACTAGGGAATGCGAGTTTTCATGTTGAGCAGACGTTGAATAGTGGGTGTCGGGGGTTTGCCATTGATTTGGAGGGTGGAGGACCGCAAGGTTACGCGCACGAACGTTCAGATTATATTATGGGTTCTTCAGGTGGTAATACCAGGAATTTGGTTTGTCAATAAAACACGCGTTAATTGCCTAGATTGGCATGACGAGGCCTATGACCGTGCCTATTATTTACTGATCCGGTGTACATGCTTGCAGTTTCACTGCTTTCTCGCAAACAACGGGGCTGACCATGGAAACCTGTTGCCTTCTTGTACTCAGCACCCAACTGGCAGGTTTTTTGTATTCGGACATGACCTCGGATAGTTTATTGAGGCCAAAAAATTAGTCCAGACAGCACACGACCCAACGAAGTGTTAGAAGTGCATAATCCATTGACGTAGACAGCCCCCTGTGACCAGGTTAACACAATTATGAAAGTAGATATGAATGGTTCGCTGACCTAGTTTCCTTGTTTGGTTTAGCGTTCTGCGTGTTTAGCGTCGTCATGGTGTGTGACCCAACGGCTTGGTGATGATAGAATTACCGCGAAATGCACTCCCGCCCAAAACCCAGGTCGTGTCTGAATACGACCCAAGACAATGTTAAACCCACCAAATTCTACTTTGTGTTTTAATCCATTTTATCAACACCTCCACAATTTGGTATGAGCCACGTAAATGAAAAAACTAACATTTGTCAAGTATCACAACCTCATACCTCATGGTATAAATAAAAAACTCTCAAAATGCATACAGTAGTAATCACCTATGTGGATTAATTCCTGTAAAAAGACCCAAGTCTACATCTTAACTCTAAATCTCACTTACCCTTTTGCTACTTGCTACTCAAGACGACTTCTCCCTCTTCTCCTGTGTTCCCCCTACTTCTGTGAAGCGCGTAAGATGAATCGACAGCTTATGAGCCCAACGTTGTGGAGAACCGGTGAAGATTTTCCGCGCCTGAACGGCTCCAACTTCCCCGTGTGGGATGCAAGCATCCTTGCCGCGCTCGACGGTCAAGGCCTGCTAGGCTTCATCGACCAAGACGACTACGACGATAACTCTGACGCGTCGAGCGACAACTCCGACAGTGAAAGCCCCACCCTGCCCGACCCCAAGAGTACCCAGCCATCGTCGCCCACCTCGTCGGACACACTCCTCTCCGACACGGGCACGCTGCATCCAAACTACGGCAGTGATGCCGCGGCCGACACTGCTGCTCAACCCAAGGATTCTGACTCCGGCTCTGAGGCGCACGCCGACTCGTCGTTCGGCAACTCGTCCGAGACGAAGACGTCTGGCAAGACCTCGTCTAGCCCTCCGGTGATCAAATCCTTCACCGAGACTAAACGCGACAAGGAAAGACGCCGAGCATTGGTCCGCGCACAGGCCAAGAAGGCTCGAGCCAAGCTCCGAGCGGGCAACAAGCGTGCAGCTCGTAAACCGAGTGCACACAAAAGACGTCGTCGTGATCAATACGAGGGATCAACTGCTCATGGTGATCCGTACTATATCAACATCAGTACGAGGAAGGTACGGGCCTGATGGCGTTCTTCCTGACCTTTGAGCGCGCCCTGAAGGCGGGCGCTGAAGCTACTGGTATTGTGATAAATGACGAGCAGAAGTCTTTATATCTCTACCACGCGATGCCAAGTACCTGGAAGCCTGACCTCGCGATCTGGAAGGGAATCAAAAACTTCATTCCCTATATGGATCCCAAGTCTAACATTGAGCGCAAGGTACTGGACGACTATGCCAAGCGCCAGTACGTCATCGAGAAGGGTAGTCCTGAGTCTACTATTACGGCGGGCGAGACGGCCCTCCAGGCTATTTCAAACGCTCCCCATGGTCGTAATGATCCTCCACGTCGTGCACCTAGCTGTACTTACTTACTGCCAACGCCCCAACCACGCTATTCGTGATTGTGGTGTGTTGCAGAAGCATCTACGCACTGGAACCGCCAAAAAGGGCGCCGTACTGCCGGCCAACGCCATCATCGATCGCAAGCCGCGTGATGGCAATTCCCAAAACATCAGCGCACCCAACGTTCTGACGATCGCCACCGCCCACCCCGCAACGACAACAATTTCAAGGGGACGGATATTAACGATCGCTTCGGCAACCTGTCAACTTTCATGATCTTAAGCGCAAGTATAATGCGCGCGATCGTGACATTGCTCTGATTGCCTACACAACGGTCTTCATGCCTGACATCGGTCTCTCTGCCACTAGTCCTGATTCACATGACCCTACGTGGACTGTCGACTCGTCATGCACCCGCCACGATGCCTACCAGGAATCCTGGTTCAAGGAGATCCGACCGTATGCCGGCGTCATCATGGTTGGCGGCAAGCAGCAGCTTCCCGTTCGCGGCATCGGTAACGAAGTGGCGGGCACCGAAGGAAACATTCGTCACCTCGAATTCCGTGATGTGCTCGTCGGCCCTGACATGAAGTTTAACCTTCTATCCATTGCTCAAGTTCTGAAGATGGGCATCTGCCTGGTATTCAGCCGCACCAGGTGCACTTTCGTCGTGAGCAAGAATTACAAGGTACATGTTGAGCTGGCAGCTGACATGGACCTGTTTCAACTCAAGGCCAAAATGCCACCAAAGACGCCTTCCAGCGCGCTTGTGGCCTCGGCGCTTCCGGACGATAAGCCCGCCAACGCCCTAGTGGCCCAACCAGGTATGGACACCACTGTCTTATTGTGGCACAAACGTCTCGGTCATCCTAACTTTCGTGAGATGCAGACCATGTCTAAGACCCAAACGGCCCCTGAACTCGCGTTCTCCAAAGCATCTACGATCCCTAAACACTTCTGCCCTTCGTGCATCTTTGCTAAAGCCCTTCGTGCTCCTTTCAATAGCAATGTTGACCGCTCAAAAGCTCCTCTTGACAAAGTTCATTCTGACAGCAATGATCCGTTGCATTACCCCACCCTAAGTGGCGCGCACTACTTCATTACGTTCGTCGATGACTACTCGCGCTTCATGCATCTATATGTTGTAGCGCGCTTGTCTGATTTGTACGATTGCTATGAAAAGTTTCGAAAGGCAGCCAAGAACCACTTCAACAACTGAAGTTGGTACACTCGAAACCCAGTTCAATCAGTATGACCCTGAAGTCCAACGGCTTCAGAGCGACAATGGAAAGGAATACGAGAAACTCGGCAAGATCATATTTGATCTCTATGGCACCCACGCTCAATTCACTAACGCATACACGCCTCATCAAAACGGTGTTGGGGAACGCCGGATGCGCACCATTCTCGAGCGTGTGCATGCTCTGCTTATCGACGGCGACTTACCCCGCTAGTTTTGGGTAGAGTGCTGTCAATACGTCGCCCACCTTATCAACGTGACTACACAAAGCGTGCTCCCCGCAGGAGTAACACCGTACGAGCTCTTGCACGAGAGGAAACCATCCCTTGCGTACATTAAGTTTTTTTTTGGTTGTGCGGCACTTGCTCTAACACCTGAATCGCGCCGCAACAAACTACAGTCGCGTGTGAAACTGTGCATGTTTATTGGTCTACCGCAAAACAAAAAAAAGGCTACCGACTACTAGGCACGACAGAGAACAGAATCATCTCAGCCGAGATGTTACATTCAAAGAGGACACGTTCCTAATCTGATGTTCCTTGAACGTGCCACCCCGGACCCACTCAGTACATCCTTACCTGTCCAAAAAGAACTCCTTCCCTCACTGAGTGCAGTCCTCAAACGAAATCACGTCTCTTTGGTGGCCACTGATGCTGATGTTTGTTTCCCCTCTCCAAAGAAAGTCAAACATCCAGACGCTGATACTGTGTATTCAAAAGCGCTATTGCTCAACGAGCCCATTGACTTGGAGGAAGAACAGACTCAGCATTTTCCCTCATCACTCTCTTAGCTGCTCGATATGATCCAGAACCTGAGACCTCTAAGGAAGCAATGCGGTCACCGCATGCGTCTGACGGGCACGCTGCCGCTCTATCAGAATATCAGTCGCTCTTGCACAACAAGACATGCACTCTTATGCCTCACCCTAACAACCGTAAGGTTCTACAGTGCCGATGGGTTTTCGAACGTAAGCGCGATGCTGCTGGTAACATTGTGCGCTTGAAAGTTCGCCTGGTCATCAAGGGTTTCCAGCAGAAGTATGGCATTGACTACACATATATATTGTCACCTGTCGTACGGATGGAAGTCTCCGACTGCTGCTCACGCTTGCAGCAATCCTCGACTATGAGATTGAACAGATGGACGTTAAAACAGCTTTCATCTACGGTTAACTTGATGTTGAGATCTTCATGGAACAGCCCGAAGGTTTTCAGGCCAAGTCTCATCCTGAACTTGTTTGCAGTCTTGATAAGAGCCTCTACGGCCTCAAGCAAGAACCCAGAGTCTCGTACTACACCTTCGCAAAATACCTCGAACGTCTTGGTTTCCGTCGCCTAGTTAAGTACCGTTGCGGGTTCTTTAACGTTATATTCAATGCGCCGTGCTACATCTCGGTTTACGTCGATGACCTGTTAATCATCTCACCGTCCAAGCAAGTCGTTGCACGAGTGAAATTGTCCCTAAACTCAGACTACATGACCAATTTAGGGGGAGTTTCCTACCTCCTTGGTTGGACGATAGAAAGAAACCGTGTTGATCGCTCTATCTTTATTCACCAGACGAGCTGTGCCATCAAAGTGCTTGACCGTTTTTCGATGTTAGAGAGTTACCCAAAGAGTATATCAATTGCACAGGCACTGAGTGCCAACGATTGCCCTAATAATGAAGTTGACAAAGCTCTAAATGCAACCAAACCCTAGAGGGAAGCGGTTGGTAGCTTCATGTACCTCATGACAGGAACCAGAACTGACCTTGCCTACTTTCTTCGTGAAGTAAGTCAATATCTGGGCAATCCAGGAACACCTCACTGGAACACCGTCAAACAGGGTCTACGCTACCTAAATGACACAAAAGAGTTTGGCATTTCTCTTGGTGTTAAAAATCAAGAGCTTCTACAGTCTGACGAGTACTGATGGCATACATGGACTCGGACTACGCAGCATGCCAAAGCACACACCGCTGCATTGGTGGTTATATTACCATGTTTTGCAATAGTCCCATTAGTTAGATCTCACGGTGTGATCACACCGTAGTGCTGTCTACGACAGAAGCAGAGTAGATTGCACTCTGTTATCGCATGCACGATCTTATCTACATAAAACTATTCCTAAGGGACCTAGGCTATAACAGCTCAAAACCCACACTGATACTGGAAGACAACCAAAGTTGCATCAAAAGTTGCAACAACCCAGAGCTTCACGGCAGAAGTAAGCACATTGATATCAAATACTTCTTCTTTGAAGAGAAGAAAACAAGAAACGAAATTGTTATAAACTACTGCAACACAACCGAAATGTGCGCAGACATATTCACCAAGCTGCTAACAAAGCCAGCATTTGAGAAAATGAGGGAGATTTTACGTGTCAATCAACCACACTATACAAAAACGCAATAAGATAAAGTATAGTGAGGGCTATCAGTTTATTGTCCTTGGATTTGAAACTCACTCTGAAATCAATCCAGAGACATGGACTATCCGTTGAAAGGCTGGCGCTCTTCGATGCAGTACACCATGTCAATACGCCGCAGGAACTTCTTCAGCGCGGCTTCGGTAGACTTAACGGGGCCGTAATGATCGGAGTTAATGATCCGGTAGGTGCCGTTAATGTACACGCGGCTAACGGCATGGTAAAAGCCGTTGGACTGTCCGGGTGGCAAGCCAATGATCATGGGTCGATGGCGCTCAGACGGCGAGACTTTCTCGATCAGGAACTTCTTGAGGCCTTCCATCTCTCGGCTGAGCTTAATGAGGTTGATCAAATCGTGGCCAGCGAAGCGAAGGGCTAGCTGGAGTGCATTGATACTATAGCTGCCGAACACGTGTCCCCACCTGCGCTCACGCGTTCGGCCAAGCATGGCCAAAATCGCGGCCGTAGTTTTCATCGTGAGGAAGTCGCGTATTTGCATGCAACTATTAAGTCCGTTCACCCAAAGGGCGCTCAACCAAGTAGGAGTCCCGCGCACTGAGCCAAAAACCCGGCTCGACGGTGTCAGCTCTCGTTTGAACCAAGAGCTTACCAATTGAGAAATGAGCCGATTTCTGGTGAGGAAAACTAAGGAGGGCCATCCAGCTGGGAGGGCTCTCACATACACAAACAAAAATTCAGAATAAAAATATATATTTTACGTCGGCAACGGCAAAAAATAGAATTGCCGTTGCCGACGAAAACAGCTATTATTAATACTAGTACAACCACATGCAAAATTCTCGTTCTTTACAAGCCTGATTGTAACATGCGTCCATCGTTCCCTTCGTCTGGCTACGCGATCGTTTCTCTACAACTGAAAACTGGAATTATAGATGCCTTACTAGCTGAGGCGAAATCGTGCTCCTACACACCTGGATTTCGTGAAGTTGGAGGTGAAAGTGACGACCCCTTTCGGAGTCAATATCGCGTTGTTCGGATGGGTTCTACGTTGTCGATCACTGAGCAAGCTATTCAAGAGGATCCAGCAGTGATTACAAACCTGTGTGTTTTCTTATATGCACTCCCATCCTGGTGGTGCAGACCAAGAGCCTCATCAGGGTTACACAGCAGAGGTGAGAGCTCGTGTCGCGTCTAAATTCCGGGAAGCTGTTCCTGCTAGCGTGATTATTGCTCTGGAAGAAGGTACCACAAATCGTGTATTTGAGGGGTGTTTTTGAGTATGCAAAGCCTCAGAAAGAAATTTACCTCAACATACCTCGCGGGTACGCAGTTGTATTTCGTGGAGACCTATTTCACAGTGGAGTTGGCTACACTTTATCGAATTATAGGCTTCACTGCTACTTGTTTTTAGCGGTGAAAAATGGATTCCAGACGTCGTCTCTAACACAATGTTTGTATGCCAATACTGTGGGCATAATGATAGCAAGTCTGATCGTGTTAGACAACACCGGTATTATTTCCAGGATAATCCAGACTAGAGATCAAACTTGTTTGTTTTTTAGGTGCAGTCCATCACTATAACGTCGGAATGAAATTTGTAGAGATTAACTGTGGCAGGGTGAGCCCACAACACGTATTCGAGACACTGTGTTTCAGCATGAGCAGTGTATCGGTAGAAGAATCCTTCGTCGTTTAACTGCTCGAAAAGAGCTTCAATGGGCGTAGATGTCGCGAGAATCCGTCGGCGAGCAGTGTTCTTCGCATTCGCGATATCTTTAGGAAGGATAATTGACTAGATTCAGCACGGTTGCGTATATATTGGCAACGGGAACGCCACCTGCAGATTGGGCCTCAATTACATTTTGCAAAGTTTGCTGGGTAGCTTCGCTTGTAGCTTGCGCCGCCCTTGATCGATGAGCAGCATGAACTCGAGCATCAGTAGACGGCTTGTGGTTGTGAATAGCACTTCCGTTTCCTGTGTGGACAATAGACCATTCTCCAGTAGATTGACTCTTGTCCTTGAAATCCTCATGGGGCAGCCGCAGCGTTTAGAACCTCTTTAGGTGCGCACGCGTTCTTCTTTTGAAAGTTTCTGGTGCACTTGGGCTTGCCGGTGCGATCGCATTCGTAGTTGTGAATACAGACATCTCCCTTTTCATTTTGCGAGCCCGCCTCCGTCATACGTTGAACCCATGTGATCTCGTCCACTCATGCAACGCAGCCCCACCAGCATCATGAGTTGGATATGTTGTTGCGGGGGGAGTGACAATGTGAACAAATTGTTTCGTCATTGAAATTGAAAGCGTGATAAAGGTTCCTTGAGCTTTAAGGTTAAGAAATAGAGACCCCTCACGTCGTAGAAAAAGAAGTCTGTGGCTTCCGATCGTCAGGTAGTTTCAGCATGAATGGTTATACTGTTGTTTGTTTATGAATAGCTTTGTTGCTTTTTCTTGATTCCTGTCAGTAACTGCAAAAACAAATGCGACGAATAATTATAATAATAGAGCGCTTAAGCAGTTCAGAACGAAACGCAAATCTGATAATTTTTGGTCTTTTACGTTTCGTTTCGTTTGGAGTCGACGATTAGTTTCGTCTCCGCTTTTTACAACGAAGCGGAATCAGTGGTGGGCTTGTGTTATCCTCTCTACAGCCTGTTCTTATGGAATCGGACAGCGACGACGATATCTTCGAGGAACGCCGCGTGGCGAGGGAAATGCTTGATGTTTCACGGTTTAAGCGGCTCCATGGGGACTTGGTGACAGCATCCCGACTTCGACACTTTGGCATTGCATGACTCTGCGATTCAGGGCCATAGTTCCCTATCCCTCGTGTCCGGTTTGACATCGACATCGTCACAGACGATGCTTGCTTACTCTTCTATCGCTTTACTCAACGGCAACTCCGTCGTCTACAAGCCTCGTTTGGGCTACCAGAAGTTATCCGCACCGGATCAAGCTCCCGTGCATGTTGTACTGGACTCGAGGGTCTGTGCATCACGCTCCATCGTCTCTCCTATCCAAGTAGATTGTTTGAGTTGTCTAACATCTACGGACGGTGGCCAAGTGCCCTCAGCAGTATTTTCTACTATGTCATAGGCTTGATCAATACAAAGTGCATGTCGATCCTAAATGGTAGCCTAAATCTGGTTGGACCTAGATTGCAGGAGTTTTGTCAAGCTGTATATGACCAAGGTGCTGAGCTGGATAGTATCTGGGGATTCGTCGATGGAACAGTACGAGGCATTTTATAGACCATCAGAAGCTCGAGCTCAAAGAAGCGTCTATAGAGGACACAAGAGGAAACACGGGCTCAAATTCCAGACCGTCGTAACTCCTGACGGTATAATTTGGCATCTACATGGACCAGTGGAGGGAAGACGGCACGACATAGCGTTGATACGAAAGTCTCAATTAGAGGAGCGCATCAGGGCTGACGAAAGATTTCAGGGGTATTTTATTTACGGTGACCAGGCCCACGGACGGACAGATGTGTTCGTTTCACCTTTTAAAAAATCTGCATTGACACCAGCTCAAGCCAAAATCAACTCCTCAATGGCGGTGGTACGGACCTCGGTAGAGTGGTCGTATAGTCAAGTGACTAACTATTGGGTGGGTGTGGATTTCAAGCGCAAAATGTACTTGGGTGGGGTTCCTGCAGCTACGTTTTACAAGGCAGCAGTGGTTCTTACTAATTGTATCACTATTCTCCGAGGGGAAACAACAACAATAGATTTTTTGGAGTGGAACCTCCTTCACTGCACAAGTATTTTTCACTTTAACAGTTTCAATACACATACGGCTTAGGTATTCGTCTGGCTAATTGCAGCAGCTACCAGCTTTAGCAGAGATTCCGTTTGTGCAGCTTGATGCTGCATATGCTCACGGATAAGCTCATGTTGGTGACGCTGGTGATCCAATTCCTCGCGACGCAGCTGGAGCACTTCACGATGCAGATTAACCTTTTGCTCTTCAAGTTTCCGACGTTCTATAGCTTCTTCCTGCTCATTTTGCAGCAACGTCGAAAGCCGATGGCGTTTCTAAGGTTTCTTTTGGCCCCCACCAATTAGTCTTGCGGAGACTCTGTTAGTAAATACATAACATCATCACTAGTCAATAAAATGAATCATTGTTAACAATTATACGTACCGTTTTTCAGCTGCCTGCATCAACCGTTGACACGCAGTCTCAATCCCTTGAGTCTTCATGGTTGTTTATGAATTGCGGCTTCAGTTTTAAGTTGCTGTAGTTTCTCTAGAACATCATCGTTGTCTGTGTGCACCTCACTTGTGCCACTGGCTGCCTCGTTACGCCCCTTGAGTACAGCATATTGGCGGAGGAGAAGCTCTGTACGATCGCGTCAAGATCGAAAGCTGAAATTGGTTGACAAACTCTGGTTAAGCCGCTTTGAAACCCCTTTCCACATGGCTGTCACCATCTTACGCTCAACTGTAAACGGAGGGATCGATAGCACCTCGACCAACAGAGCTTTGTCAGCAGTGGCGTTGAATCGCGAGCGGGGCTCTACCTCGTCTACTTCCTCGACGCTTCCGGCCTCGTCGTCGTCGGATACCGTCATTTGTCTCTCTGCAGCAGCTTCAAACATCTTTACAGGCTATCTTGGCCCAGTTGAAGCGACACAGTGTCGTCCTCGCTCAAGTAATTCACAGGGAAGACGTCGCTGTCTCCAGAGTCTGTCATCGTGTTGCAAACTTGTCGTTGACGCAAGATGATTGGTTATCATATCGTCGTATCAACGTTTGCTTAAGCGCAATAAGAATATCCGTAACGGATTTTTAAAACGTCTTTTTGTTTCATGCTCAAAATCGTTTTGGTTCTGCAGCTTAAGCGCTCTATTAGCTGTTGTCGTCGGAAACGGCAAATCTATTTTTTGCCGTTGCCGACGTAAAGTATATTTTTATTCTGAATTTTTGTTTGTTTATGTGAGGACCCTCCCAGCTGGAGGGCCCTCCTTCGTTTTTCCCATTTTCTGGTCTGTCGTGAGACTCCCATCCCAAACACTATCCTCAAAATTCCCTCAGATAACAACTTTTGATCTGTTTAAATTACCTACCCTTTGGCATATTTCGGAATGTCAAGGATCACATCCTCGTACCTCATGGTATAAATATAAACTCTCAAAACGCATAAAGAAGTAATTACGTGGATTAATTCCTGTAAAAGACCCAAGTCTACGTCTTAACTCTAAATCTCACTTACTCTTTTGCTACTTGCTACTCAAGACGACTTCTCCCTCTTCTCGTGTGTTCCCCCTACTCCTGTGAAGCGCGTAAGTTGAATCGACAACATTTTCACAATGGTGTACCGGTACCTACGCGCTTCAAGCAAACAGTTCCCATGAAGTGGCTGTAAAATGGGAATTCTGGAATGTACTGTATATGCATTGCGTGGATGACGCCCGCCCGTAAGCGATATATTCTAGCCGCAGTGTCCGTCGTCTATGACTGTTGGGGTGATCAAGTTGCCCCAGACCCCCGGACTCGTGGTTACGGATGTGACACACACTCTCGGACCAACTGTATACTGCTCCAAGCAGTGCAGATTCTCCCTCACTTTCATTTAAAATAGCATTTGCGTTGGGGCCAACAAAAGTCGCATCATGTACCCATTAGCTGTCAGCGCCACAGTTCCCAAGCTAGTATCTTCCATGTGAGTTCATTTGAGCTTGTGATCCTTGTATAAACTCGCCTCGTAGAGCCCAAATAATAGCTTTAACTATTTAAACTACAAAATTATCCATGCTTATTTTACAATTTTGAGTCATTTGCTTGCCGACCACTGACAATTGTATTTATAAGGCCTATCCTGATATTACATGTTAGTAGTATTATTAATAACTTAATATCAGCTTGATACGGGTTTGGGCTCCTCGACTTCACATACGCATGTAGTTATGTGAACATGTAGTTTAGTACCCGCCCGCAATCATCCGGATGACACTTAAAGATGTGTTCTCTCTGGCATCATCCACTGTTTATAATTGCTACATGTACTCATTTTCCAACTTCCGAACGACGCTAGACATTACTTCGAAGGGATCGCCACGAATACTTTGTTTACAATGCGGTATTACGACGGGCTACTAGCTTTAATCAGTCTGCTTGTTTGCATATCTGCGACGGTGAGAGTAGACACAGCGAGGACTCCACCCACATCGGAAGTGACTAGCGATGAGAGGGCGCTTTTCAGTTTGGATAAGGTTGTAGCTTCGATCAAGACAGGTGCATCAAAATTCGCCAAGCGAAAGTCTGTTGCTACTGTACACCGCAAGATTTACCAAGATGTCATGAAAGTTGTTGAGGAGCCAAAATGGAAATTCAAAAGCAGGAGCATCAATGAGCACCCCAGTAGACAGGTGTCATTGCTCCAGGAACTCACGAAAAAATACGGAGAGGGTACTGTAGCCGCGTGGCTCGTAAACGCGAAAGAGAATACGCGACTAAAGGACATTGCAACAAAGCTGCAGACTCAACAATTGGAGAGTTGGCGAAGCGACCGGAAATCCATCGACGACGTCATAAAGTTGTTGCAGATCAGTGACAAACCGATGAGCCAACCGGTGCCTGCGAAGCCTCAATACTTCGAAACAATCGATTTTGACCCAAACCTCCGCTCGCTGGATGGATACATTGAGCTTCTTAACTCAATGAACATCAAACACAAAACGGACTTGTTAACGGTGTTGCGGAAAGCCTTCGGTGATGAACGAGCTGAGGTGTTGGTTTCAAAACTCGCCCACAATTCAGGCGAACCCGACAAATACGCGAACATGGTGTTTCGAAGCTGGAACGAGAACAATTATGACCAGGCAAAAGTTCTAACCAAGGTTTTCAAGGTGCCTGAGAAGAATTGGGAGGATCACAATTGGATGACGGCAGTTGCAGAGAGATACGCACAGTTCTACAAGAACAAGAATAACATAGCTTAACAACAAGCTAATAGCGAAAAACCTTTACTTTGGAGTCGATTGGCTACATATATATCGATAAATACATTCTGCCTCACACTCAGTCACTTTAATACTTGGAAATTGTCAAATATATGCATCAGGAGTAGTTGATATCTCGTGCCTAACAATATCCAATTTGAAGATAGCTCGTATCGAAGTTACGTTTTGGGTGTCGAGTTTTCAGTCCTAAACTGTCCTAAACGTCCTAACGGCAGTCCTGCCGTTGTGTTGCGGTTTGTGTAGACATATCTACACACTATGAACGTTAATAAACTAATCTGTTCTTCCAGGCTATTGCCAGTCGATGGTGCACTCATTCGAGTTGCCTCTAGCGTAAATCGTCATTAGCCACATCTTCAACCTGCAGAAGCAATGAGCCGAACGTCTAAGCGACCACATGAAGGCGCCTCTGACGCGTCTCGTATCTCCCCTAAGAGAGTTACTCGCAAGAACGAGAGGCTCAAGGGCGCCATTTTTCCCGTTAGAGATGCCGCTCTGCCGCATGTGATGCAGCTGATAGACAGATGCTTAATGGGGTCCAACCCAGCCATCATGGACGCCGCTCTCACTGCCGACGTGTCGTGACAGGATCAGCTCTTGGCAAGACTCAAGTGTGACGTGTCGAGGCCACTCATTGCCGCAGCTGACAAGGGCCATTGAGCCGTAGTTGCAGCAACCTCACAACTGGAAAGAAGCCCCCTACAAAGTCATTACTAAGGCTGCGATAGCCGCGGCGAGCACGGGCCACCAGCCTTACTACTAGTCAACGCGAGCTAGACATATCTTCCTGGCGGGACAATGTAAAACGGAACTATTTGCATGCAGCAGCTCGAACTCTGTTGTGTACCTCAGCGGAAAATGGGCATTTATCTGTGGTGCGGTACATAGTGCAGTGCTCGAGATAAAAAGTACCCTATCAACGGATCAGCAGCTTTGGGCCATGCAATTTCTGAACAACACACTGCCGTGGTCGAATTTCTGTTCCTTCTGGCAATCTTTCCTTTGATCTGGTACACGCTTTTGCAGCGGCGGTGGATACAAAGCAATCGCCACTCAGGAAGAGGATTTTTGATGCCTACAAAAAGAAAAATGCCAAAAACAAACTGTTTTACGAACTGGCAGGAGTGAACGCTGTCAAGTTTTTGTATGGAAGAGGATGGAAATCCGCTCACCTGATAAACAACGCCTTCGTATGCGCTTCAACTAATGGCAAGACAAACACCGTTGAGCTCTTGCTCAATACGGGTCTCATCACTGGAAAGTTTCTTAATGACGCCTTCGAGGCTGCTGCGGGGTTTATCGGAGGTGTTCACTTAGAACGAGTGGCGTTCCTATACAACAACCGACGCACGTGCCTAAGGACACTGGGAAATGAAGATAATACAAAACCAATCCGACAGGAAGAACATATTTCTGACGACACAGCCATTAAAGCATTCGAAAAAGCTGCTGCAAGCGGAGATAATACCTACTCCAATATTCGCGATAAGAGCAAAATCGTAAAACTACTGAACAAGGAACAATGCATCCCCTATGAGATGATCTGCAAAGCGTTCGTCGCTGCGGTATCCAACGGTAACACGGACGTTGTGGGTCATCTCCGTGACGATCACCGCTTTTCTTCTGAATCCATGGGTGAAAGTTTCGCAAGTGCAGCACGTAGCAATCATTTCGAGTTGATGAATCGCTCTATGATGAACAGCGCATTTCTCCCGAGACAGTTCTTCCAGCTGTTAAGAAGGCTCTTATTGTTGAGAATCCAGACGTGATGAAGTATTTGGTGATACTACTAACCGAGGAAGGGCGCGTGCCGCGAGTGTGGAAGCACCAAGCACTCGTGCCTGCTGCCATGAAGAAGATCACGTATGCGCTGTTTTTCCTAACTAGCTACGAAATGGAGAGTGGCCTCTGGACATACTGAAAGAAGCACTCGAGGCGTCATATTACTATTCCATCAAGAACTTCATATACCGGTTAACCTGCGAACAACTCTTTTACTCGAAGGATGAAGAGAGACTTGAGAGCATCGAGTGGATGGAAACCCAGAAGGATAAATCGAGCATGTAGTGCTGAGAACCATAGCGTTTGGCACACTAACCTGGTGTACTATGAGCTCTTTTTATTTTCAAGTTACTAGTGCCAAAGCTGCTGAAAATATTCTTGTACGCTCAGCGAACTTGGCATTTTGGGATGTGGCTGGTGTATTTCGACACGGTTTGTAATTCTTACCACTTCGAAGTACACGTTGCGATATTTTCTCGCGTGCTGGAACGTTTGTCTCTAAGTTGGCTGCTTCATAACATGTCGAATGATATTCCAGTAATACGGATTAGAATCCAAAACTACTGGTATTTAATTTCTCAATTGAATTCTAGCTCTGTCAGTGGCTTGTATCTTAAATGGATCTCTTCATCGTACAGGCGTCTCCTTATCGAGCAACATTCGCTTCCTTAGGAGTGCGCCACAATATTCAACTAACAGCTACTTAGTATCGTTTATCTGGATATCTTGTGCACATCGGTTATAAATCAGCGGCACGACACGTAGTTTGCTAGATTTTTTATAAAGTTATATTAGGCCTTCTACCCAAAATAAGATACCGATAAACAAAAGCTAAACTTAAGTGTCAGTCAATGTTTTAGTCAAGTAATGAGCAGTGACTAAATCGCCAACCAGGATACCGAATCGCAACTTAGAATACTAAATCCTCTAGACGCCTCGTGATGTTATCCAAATCATTCTTCTTCCCTGAGGTCGATAGCACGAGAATAAGAGCAAGCTTGGCATGCTCGTTGGTCGAAGAGCCGTCTGAATGCCTTGTCAAATCCATTGTCTCGGTTACTGTGTTGTCTGCTTGAGTCAGTTTACTTAGAGAGTTCGTTGTCTTTCGTGCTAGACGATTTGCATGTCACCTCGGGGTCCTCGATTTTAAGAAGAACCAAAACGTCGGTTCTGTTGTTCATCTTTGCAACGTCCGCAGCGTTTTAACCGTCATCGTTCTTCTACACCAAGCTAGCCCCTTGATTTACAAGAAACTTCGCGGTTTGTCGGTGTCCGCGGCTCGCAGCCATCATCAACGGAGTCCACTTTGCCTTGTTGACAACGTCGATCCGTGCACCATGTTGAAGAAGCAAGCGAATCATGTCCACTCTCCCTTCATCTGCAGCAATCTGTAGCGCTAAACGTCCATCTGTCATCCTTTTCTTTACCAACGCCTTCGTCTGAAGCGATAAATCAAAGATTTCCACCAAGTCTCGTTGAGCTGCGGCCATCGAAGGCGTCCAGCCACTCTCGTTCTGTGCATCCAGGTCAATACCCAAACTCTAATCACTTTGAATTAGTGCACGAGCGCACTCTACTGACCGACTGTACACTGCTTCATGCAGTGCAGAGTCTCCATCACTGTCCCTTAAGTTCACATTTGCACTATGCACTAGCAAAAGCTTTATCATTTCCACATGATCCCTCTGTACCGCGGGCGTCAAAGGCGCCAAGTCAACACCACGCGTATTTATTTGAGCTCCTCCCTCTAGTAACACCCCAGCTGCCTCCACCTGTCCGCTTTCAGCTGCAAACGTCAACGCAGTATGGCCGTTCCAAGCCCCGTTGTCTAGTAGAGCGTTGATGATCTCCGCATGGCCTTGTGCTGCCGCTAACATGAGCGGTGTTGTAGCTCCCCCGTTACTCAAATTTACTTTAAGATCACAGTTAAGTAGCAATCGAACGATTTCCAATTGTCCGTTATAGGCTACGATGCCCAGCACATTGTCTCCTTCCTTGTTCATTGCGTGACTGGAATTCGGAGAGCTTTCGATCAAAAGTTTGGCCACCTCGACAGAACCAAGCTTGACGGACACCATAAGCGGTGCTTGTCCATTGACATCGCCCAATTCGACGTTTGCATCAAAAGCAAGCAGAACTTTACGGCTTGGATCTGCTGACGAAGCACTGCAAGATGGAGCTTTGCGACCCTCAAAATTTATCACGTTTGCAGATGCTCCACTCGTCAGTAGAAACGTTAGAATATCAATGTGCCCCAATCGAGCAGCCTCCATGACGGCGGTGAAACCGTTTGTACCCCGCTCATCGATGTTGCAACCAGTGGTTACCACTTGTCGAGCAGCTCGCAAGTCGCCAGATAACGCGGCGCGATCAGAGTCATCTTCTTTGTCAAAGGTTTGAAGGCTCTTAGAATTGATCAAATTTGATTAGTGCCAAAACTGATCAAATTGTTTTATTCCAAAAGTGGTATTTATCAAAAAAAATTTTAAATTGAGTAAGTAAATCTTAAAAAGAGTACTGTAGACCAGTAAGCCGGTAGTACCTGTTTAATTTTAAAGGTAATCTACGCCTGAAAATTGAGATCTCACCAGATTAATGCAAGACAAAGCACAAACTCGCGCGAGTCAAGTACACTGTACTAAACTTCATCTTTTTTTTTTTTTTTTGCGAATCTAACGGTGTCAATGTATTATCTGTGTTTGGTTTGTCGCCTGAGTTTCAAACTCATCAGAAAATCTGGAAGTCCTAAACAGGCTAATTCTTCAGATTCAGATAGCCGCTCCTGATGAGATAGCGCATCGACCAACCAGTGCGCTTGGTCGTCTCGTCCGAGTGTCGCCACGTCCAGAATGCCCAACCACCCGTAGTATCGGCGTTGTAGTAGGCAAGTTGCTTTCGTCCCAACTCGCGGAAGTTGTCAATATTTTGGAAGATACCTCTCGAATCGGGAGGCCCACCCATGCACCATTCACCAAGGAAAAGGCGGTTGTTGGTTGGAGCGGACTTCAAGTGACTCTGATCATACTGGTCGATTGCTGCTAGCACCTGCTCCTCCGTCTTGCCATCATAACCCCAGATAAAGTACGCGTGGATCTCGTTCCACACATTCGTGAACTCCGGTGCACCGATCATTCCCCTGAGGTGATCCGGGTCCTGATCATTAAGGAACGGAGTCACCAGAAGAATGCAGTCGTTGCCAGTAGCGCGAATCTGCTTGTACGTTTCAATATAGTAGTTGCGTAGTGCGTTCGCGTCAACAGGTGGCACTGGCTCGTTCATTAGCGCCATTCCCAGGAACGCGGGGCTGTTCTTGTACCTTGCAGCAAGGAACGTGGCAAACTTAATAGAGTTGTCTATGTTGGTTTGCGAGGTGCTCCAGCCCACGTTGCCCAGAGTGACGGGTGCACTGTGCTCGATGCCGTTCTGGCTTCCCTGGTGAGCATGCAGACTGATAATTACCGCGATGTTGTGTTTGAGGGCCCAGTCATTGATTAGAGCGTCCAGATATTTCAAGCCTCCACGAGCAAACATGTCTCCTTCAGTGCCAGGTGCAGTGGTAGCATCACGGATGATCCAGTGACCAACCGGAACACGGACGGTGTTAAGCACCCCCGTGTCGGCGATCTCCTTGATATCAGCTTCAGTGATCCAAGTCTTACGGTGTTGCTCAAACGCAGCGGTACCTTTTTCCTTGCCCAGAATCTGCATCGTGTGGTATTCTCCCTTGTGGTCTTCATCCCTGGAGACTCCATTCCATAGAGCAGACTCCCAGGTTATCCAGTGTTCCGTGAGAAGCCATCCTCCCAAGTTGACAGCCTTGGAGTGGACTGCACCACTGCGAATTTGCGCCTGGATATGGCCCCCGGTTATGTTGGTGCTTCGCGACGATGAAACGGTGGCGGACACAGCTCCCACCACTTTCTTCCGCGTACCCGTGCCGCTCTTGAGGTAGCAGTGAGGCTGGCCATCCCATCCGTTGTTGATGAACGTGAATGCCTTACAACCAGAAGTACCGGCGCATTTGTTGCAGCACTCGTCGGGCAGCTTTATACCAGTGAGATCGGCGAGGTCAGCACCATTATAGTCGATACCGACCTCGGGGGTGCCGCATTGAGCGGGCTTGGGACGACATTGGTAGTAGTTCGAGTTCCAAGGCTGGCAATATTTTCCAGACGGGCAGCAGTTGGGTCCGCTCTGATCGTTGCCACAATAAGCACCGGAAGCAGCGCACGCCTCAGGAGAAGCGAAAACTCCCTGCTTTTGAAGCACGATACTAGAACCGGCAATCGCGAGAGCGAGCAGCAGAGAGGAAGGGTTCCAAGTCATCGACACCGTATTGTTTCTCCTATCGTCCGCAAAACCGAAAGTGTGAGATTCGCTACCAAACACCGCCAATGCAATCCTGTGAACATTGTTGAATTTTAGTGTGAGCTCATAAACACAGCCTCCTGACTATGAGGCGTTCAATCCACACGATCATGTACATGTACGGTTTGCCGATCTCTCGCACGGCAAAATGGAGATTAGTATCGACTCAAACGGACTAATCAGTTTTAATGTAGATCGGAAGGGCACCGTCACCCAAAGGTGTATTTTTAAGGGTTACGTATGCCAACGAGTCTTACTTTCTACTTCTCTTTGAGAGCGCTGCTGTTAGCACAATGTAGCTGTGCCAGAACTCGGTAGGAAGTTCATCAAAAAGAGTGATTTGTCTGACAAATTCACGCTTTGGGACACTGCAACAGCCGTTGCTTGCTGTCACATGTCAACCGAATCACGGGCAGAACACGTTACCACAAGTCGGGTTGTGGTTCACAACCCATGTTAGTGATTTATCCACATGGATTCTTTGCTGCTATAGTAGATGTTAACAAGACTATTATCTTCGTGTGGACGTCCTGGGCATCATCCAATGTGAGATCTAGATAGTAGTATAAACTCAAATACTCTGAGGTTTTGATTGCGTCCACCTCAACCCACAAGTCCACGACCACAGGCCGATCATAGCCTGTGTGATTCACAGGTTCATCGTGTCCGGATGTGCCTTGAACACTGTAGTACATGTAAAAGCCAGGCATAAATAGTGTTATCAGATGTTGGTAACGCTTCCAGACAACTCCGGACCGGGTATAAGAGGAAATTGATTATTATTATTATAGAGCGACGCCAAATTTTCCATTACTAAAACCTAGCCAATTCTGCTGTAAGACTATAAGAATGTAAGTGAAAGTTCCCGTCGGGCCATAGTACCGCGCTATAGAGAAATGTGAGCAACAAGATCAGAACGAAGCTCTCAATAGTATCGCTGTTATTCTTGGTTTTGTTGTAACACTACTTCTCAAGAATTCGCCGTTCAAATATACCGATTTGTATGTCAATCGTCGTGCAGTGTGCACGGTGAATTCCCTGAATGCAAATATTCCAACTATACAAAGACCAAGGAAATTCGCTATAATGAAAATTATAGCAGATATCTTCGTGCAAATTGCACGACGCGTATTTTGTTTTGTTTTTGAAAGAAAAAAAAACAAAATAATAACAATTTGGGCCTCTTTGATTAAGTAGTAGCATTGTCAATACTATTTATCGGGTATATTGGCTTTTCAGTTCTCTAACTAGCGTCTTCCACGATAGCTGATCCAACCTTTTTCCCCTACCTTTGCTCAACGATGAAGAGAAAGGAAGACGGTTAACAACCTGGGTAAAGAGAATTCCAGCCGAGTCCAAAGAGCTGTAGGCACGGTGAATTTCGTCGTTAGATAGTAACGACTCAACATGCTTCATCAACTTTTGAAGCTCAGCTAGGCGAACTTTCATTGTTCTACTGGACATGTCGTGCTTTAACAAAACCCGCAGAGGTGGCTGTCCTGCGCACCAGTGCTGTCACGCTATACGAAGCGTTCCAGAAGGGAGCGTAAAATCTCTCGGACGCGATGGAAACTGCCAGCCCACATGTAGAGTTCACATTGTGGGGTCACCAAGCTGGTACCAGTAGCAGAGACTTGCGCAACCGCTGTAGCCGGGGCGACTTCATTCATGACTGAGAGCGCTGAACGCGCAAGAACGGCTTCGAACGCCGATTCCAAAGCCTCCAGTGTCATTATGGATCCATGTATGT